TCCCCCTCATTCACAATGATAGGATTTTTTGTTCTTTGATGCCTGATCCCTGATCCCATTGACACCTGGTGATGTTGCACATCTTTTTGTCACTTAGTGACTCACCTAAGAACTTTCCAGAGTGCCTTAAAAAATACATTCTTGAATATTAATTTTTCATGTTTTTAAAAGTGATATTTGGCGTTAAATGAAGCTATGACAAAAATAAATACACGTTATTACTAAAACATAAATACTACCTAGATAGCAACTCAAAGCATACAACGTTGCTAATGGATAGCAGCACATTATTTATATTACTGACAGATAGTTCAAGACTCTCAGATGATGTTAGAAAATATACTATACAAGAAAAATAACTTTTATTCTCTCTGTATTTTTAATTCTCATTGGAATTTTGACACTGAAGCTCATCCTGTACAGAATAAAAACAAAGTTTTTTTTAAATTCATAAATCAGTTGGAGGGAATTTATTTCCTTACTATAGGTCCTAATGAGTCTTGGTGGCATAGTGGTTATGAGTTGGGCTGCTGTCACAGGTCAGCAGTTCAAAGCCACCAGTTGGGTGCTCCTTGGGAGAAAAACAGAGCTTTCTACTCCTGAAAAGTAGTACAGTCTTGGAAACCCACGGGCACATGGGCTTCCACTGTTGTCCCTAGCCTTCTGCAAACCAGTAGTTCACAATTGAAGCTGTGATAACATTTTTTCCGGATTTGAATCAAACATCATTAGGAGAATTTTGATGACCCCCAAACTCCTGGCAGAGTGTCGTGTTGTCCAATAGAACTTTTTGCAATGCGGAGAATATTGTTTGTCTGCACTGTTTAGCACAATAGCTGCTTGACCGTTGTGCATTTGGAATGTGACGAGTGAGACAGAGGAAAAGACTTTTACATTTTATTTCATCTTCATTTACATTTAAAATGAAATAGCCACACAAGGTTAGAGGCCACTATATTGGAATACCTAGTGTAGTTTTAGAGATTTGAAAATGGGCATTTTGTGGTTACAGACTAACTAATCATTCTATACTGGATTCAGTGGAACGGAAGCTGTGTAAACTGCTGTGGTAATAAATGAGTGTACATCACATGTAATTGTAAAACCAAGTTCATTCTGATGAAAAAGTATCTCACATATTTTATTTTATTACAGTGAGGAGGAGCTCCCATACCATAATGCAGCTGTGGAACGGGTAAGTCATTTCTAGATAGTTATTAATGAATGCCTTTATTAGACAACTAAGAATTGCTGCCTTTTTTATTTTGAATGCTATATGTTAATGGCCCAATCATTGTTGGAATTTGAACTTGATTTATAACAATCTAAGAAAGTAATTCAAGTAATGGTGAAATAATCTTTGGTGATTTTATGAGACTTCTAGTGGGTACTTCAAAATAAGGGAAGGTCGCACTTAGCTGAGATTTAGACTAGTAGTTCTCCCTGTGTGGTAATGCTAGTTGTCAGGAGCCATTACGTCAGTCCTGCTCCTCTTCCCCGCTGTCGCTATGTTTCTGCCCAGTGTTGGAGCAACGATGCTAATCTGTGTCATTGGGGGTCTTCCTCTTTTTCGCTGACCCTCTCTTTCACCAAACATGGTATCCTACTCCATCATTCTGTTAAGTCTTCCCATTTCAGTAAATGGAAAGAAACCGTTCTAATTTTTTAGTCAGAAGATGTCTGTGTTGTTCTTGACTTCCTTTTTTACATACACCACATCTCATTCCAGCAAATCCTGTGAGTTGTGTCTTCAAAATATATTTAAAAGTTGATGGCTTATTCCCATCTCCACGTCTGCCTCTCTGGTGTACTGTAATCTCTTCTAAAACTTCCTATCTTGCTTTTTCAACGGCTCCTCTCCCACCCCATGGTCTGGTCTCAGGAAAACAGCCAGAATAACAATGGTTCAACATTAACGAGAGCACTTCACTATTCGATCAGAACATGAGAGTGGCTGCCCATCTTTTCCAGAATGAAAGAAGTTCTTAGAGTGATCACAAGTCCCGATGCCCCTCTGATCTCTCTGCCTGCCCTCCCCTGCTCACTCACCGGCTTTCTCAGATGGCCATAGTCTCTCTCACGCTGTTTGCACCACCTGCTTGTTTCCTGATACTATCTGATGCAGCTCTTCATTTCCTGTAGCTGTTGACTCTGTTACCACCTTCAGAATAAGGCCTTCTCTCAGCACCATGTTTAAGATCATGACTGGCCCTCTCCCACACATATGGGCTATGCTCTTTATTTTCTTTTACTTCCTCTGATGTTGTATTTATTTTATTTATTTATATTGCCTGTTTTTCTCCACTATAACAAAATCTCTTTGAGGGGAGGGTTTTCACTTACTTTGCTTCCTGCGGTAGCCCTAGAACCTACGCCAGTGCTTAGCACATAGTATGTACTCACTGATTATTAGCTGAGGGAACAACTGAATATAATGACTTCATTATATTAAATATCTTGGCTTTCAAGTGCTGGTGTAGATTATCCTTTCAAGTGTTACAACATCTCCGTGATTTGAGAAGTTGGGTAGAGGAGAGTTGGAAGGTATCTTTTAACAAAAGATCCCCACCCATATTTAGCAAAATGAATATCTGGCACCCCAGTCATGACTTCTTTCTCCAATGCTCCCCTCCCTTTTAGGATTTCTTGGTACAGAAAGTTCAAAAGTTTGTGTTCAGGTGTGTAGATGACTGAAGCAAGGAGGCAGGCAGTGAAGGAAAAGAAATTCCGGGAAAGTCTCCTGGAGGATGCATGCTTGAGGGAGGAGGGTGCATGGGGTATGCTTTTAGAACCCTTTAAAATGGTTTGTTTGTTGTTGGCTTTTTAAAGAGACTTGCTAGTACAGTGAAAGGCCTCTTACTCAATGAAATTTCACTTGTAATTAATTGGTTTGTTGTATATTCTAGAGCTGGCTCTAATGAATCACTAATAAAATATTTATTTTGGAATTTACGGTTTCTAGAGGAAGGACGGGGTCCATAGGTGCTGATTGGGCTTCGTCGTGTCTTTTGTACATGAGCTATACTCATATTGCATGAGCTTCCTTTTAAGGAGTTGGCTTCTTTGAAGTGGAGTGAGCCCAGACACACGCAAAGCTGGGTAACCTAGGCGCGTTGAGCTTATGAACCTTTCACCTCACTTCTTCTGGTCTGAGTGACATTCTTCTTTTCTGCAGCAATTGCCGAGTGACAGTGGCCAGACTCAATTCTAGGGAGCAAAAACAAAACAAACTATGCCTAATTCTTAATTGAGTGGGAACGATAACCTTGTTGAAGTGGCATTGTTTATTAATGCTACAAAGCATATACCTAAAGCGTGCCATTCTGGGAAGGCGCTGTACAAGGCAGTCAAGAAATCATGGCTTCAGTTTCAGCTTTGCCAGTGTATTATTTTACACAAAGCACTTCTTGTTACAGGAATCTGTTTAAAACAGGAAGACTAGTATGTCGTTCTCCATAAAAGGATTAATGTCAGTGTCTTCTGAGTACTGTGAATTCGCTCAAACAGGCACTTCAACTAATAAACAATCACACTCATTTACTTGGCAGAGAATGATATTAATAATGGATTATATTGGGTTTTGTGTTTATTGATGTTTTTAATAAGAAGGAAAGGATATATTAAACTATGAATTCTCGTAGATGAAATTATTCTTTTATGTAGTGCTGGATTTTGCATGGTGTACAGAATGCTGGGGCCTGTTTATACCTTTTAAAATTACATCTTAATTTCATGTGGCTAGAGATCTTACTTGAAATCTTTAAAGTCAAGGTCTTTCTTGTACTTTTTGTACTCTCCTGACCTCTGCTGGTAAGGCCCAAGCTTGCATGTCTCTGCTCATCTTCAGTCATGCATCTTATCTTAATATAAGGGCGAGAGGCACCATAGTATCTAACCACTTGAAATTGAGCAGAGCTCTAAGATTTCTAATTCTAGAAAAGGAAGCTATTTAATATCCATCCATGCATGTACTGTGCCTTTACAGTCTGAATTATTAACCATGTTGCAGTGAGAGGAGCCTTGGATCAGATCAAACATAAGCTAATGTTATGTGACTGATTTATCAAACGGCTCTTGAGTACTTACTATTCAGCTGATCCTGCAGAGGATTTAAACATGTTGCCTCAGATCCCTGGACTATGTTGAAAGGTAACAAGAAGATATTGGCCCTCTTTTCAATCCCTATCCCCACCTTGCCCCAATGGGAGAGGTCAATTCTAACTCACAGACAACATGAATTTAAGATAAGAGGGTCACACTGCTGACTTTAAAAGAGTTTCTTCAAAAAAAAAGTTTCTTCTCTGAAAATAGCTCAGGAGAAGAAAAATTACACAAGAATGTGCCCTTTTCTTAGGAGAGGTAATGGGGAGATGACAAAGGTAATATAGGATGGCAATTAAATCAACTGCATAATTTTCCTTTTGAGATAATGCTGTTCTGACATTTTCAGAAGAGTAGAATTTTCTTACAGCGTTTAAAACATTATACTGATAAACATATATAGGACCCCGATCTTTATTTTTGATTACTATTTCCTATTTAAATGAGTCATTGTTTTTTTAAGAACTAGATGATTCCTCTTCTGAGGTAGTTCAAGTATATGATGAATTTGAATGTTCTTGTGTCAGAAAACATGGAGTCATCAAAGATTAAAAGGTCAGTCAAAAGAACTTGTTTGACAGGGCTATATCTCCGATTAGCTAGGAAGGAGTATGATTCAAAAAGAATAACCTTGGTAATGGATTATAATACATTGAAAAGCCTTTAGATCATATTGATGTTAAAACTATCGAGAGGTAGAAAGAACAAATGTTTTCATAGATAAATGATAGTAATACAGAAGGAATTATGAAAACAAATCACCATTTTAGTATCAGTATAGCCATAATTGATTCTGGCAAGGATTATCAATTGATGATAACACTATTGGATAGAGTTATTAAAGAACAACATCTCAAAGGATACTACCCAAATTTCTTATTAGTTATTAGTTACAGAATGGAATTTATCTGTTAGTAATGGAAAAATTGGAGAAATATCACCTTAAACAAGTGATTGAACTTTGCTATCATGTTACCTAGTTATTGATGTTGTGAGTAAAGAACAGGATCTTGTTTGAGTTGCAAGGCTTTTATACAACTCAGTGGTTTAAATCTATTAAAAAGAGTTGTAGAATCAGCACCACAATCTATTTTAGACAATTGTTTTTTCATTCTATACCCATTATTAGCAGCTCTCCAATACCGGCCCCCTGCCCCCACCATAACACTAAGGGACTATTAATTTAGTTACTGTGTCTATAGATTTACCTATCCTGGATTTCATATAAAGAAAATCATAGGAAAAATCCTACAACAATAAGAAAATAAAGCATAGAGAAACCTCAATCCAACAGAAAGCAGAAAAGAACAGAAACTAGAAGAAATTAAAAATGGGTCAAAAGGGAAAACAAATGATATATTAAACATTAACTTTATCTGTAGTGCAGGAGAAAGACCATGCTTTCTACTCCCATTCAGTGTTGCAGTCTCGGAAAAGCACAGGAGCAATTCTACCGTATTCTATGGGGTCGGTATGAGTCAGTATTGACTTTATGGCAGTGGGAAATAGCTGCAGTAATCCACCTTCCGATGCACTCGGTCTGAGGGCAGGACTATTGACATGCTTCTTCAGAGGTCCCAGGCAGTCAGTGGAAGTAAGCCTCATCTAGTAATCATGGGAGTGGTATAGAAAATGCTGTGCCCAACACCAGCCAGACGGAATCCCAAGAAGTCACCAAGACACATAATTGTCAAATTATCCAACTATGAGGAAAAAGAAAAGATCATAAAAGCAGCTAGGGAAAAGCAAACAGTCACGTATAAAGGTACCTCAGTAAGAGTTTGTTCAGACCTATCAGTGGAAACGATGAAGAAGAGGAGGGAATGGAGTAACATATTCCAAAGTTTGAAGGAAAACAATGCAAACCCAAGAGTGCTTTACCCAGCCAAGCTATCTATTAAGATAGATGGAGAAGTAAGAGTCTTCCCAGACAAGGACAACCTCAAAGAATACATAAAAAGAAACCCAGCCCTACAAAAGATTCTTGCCGATCCAGTATGGGCAGAATCCACCGAGGGCAAATAAGAGACCATCACGTAGAACAACAAAAGAGAAATCAGCCCCCAGGATAGCATTGGCTCAGTAGTGGAAAGA